TCATCTTCCAGAGGCATGGTATTTACTATTTTTAGGCCAACATGAGTTTGTCCCCTGTATGTTTAGAAAGTTATCATTATCAGTATATACAAAACAAAGAATGGAGTTCTGGAAGGAAAAAAGTACTACAAATGAGATGAGATAGGGTATATATACATTGCATCTGGAAACACATTTAAATAAAATCAAGTAAAACATTGAAATGTAACCAGGCTTGCAGAAAGGTGCACAATTCAAATATGATGAGTTTTCTCCTTAGCCCATGACAAATTTTGATATAAATTACAAAAAATATTCAAACAGAAATTCTATGTTCTGCATTAAATGAAAAGAAAGGTATGCACTATGCACCGGCAACATTTTAAAACAGTCTATTTTCCTTAACAAGTTTTATACATCAAGTGCTCAAACTGACAAAGAGAGGCAATAGCGACTTACATCAAATTTATCATCCTTTAAACTTTCCAGTGACTCGGCAAGCTCAGCTTGCTTTGAAGTAGTTGCAAGCAGTGCCTAAAATGAAGAAGCAAACTCAATCAATACGGTAATGTAAATTCTTTAAACAACATGTCCTCCAAAAGGATTAATTTTATCACAGGAGACTGGCAGTACCTTCCTTGTCTTCTGTAAATCATATTCTATTCCCTTTATACGACTCAGCGACTCTTGAAGAATATCTTCTTTCTCAGGAGGAATTGTTCTAGGTTTATTAGCCATCTCGGTCACTACTGCCTCTAAGTTTTGCAATCTCTGCCAAATTGGTTCTTTTACTTCCTGAGTGATTATTTGTTCTGAAGAGCTGGATTCCACTAGCTGGATTTTCTGATGGCTTCCTGGTTGCTTTTTGGCAGAGTGAACCATACAAAAATTCACCAATGCTGCAAATACTACATATATACAAGCTACCACTTTAACTATGATTTGATTCAATGTACTAGTGACATAGAACATCAGCTTCTTTGGTTGTTTTCTTGAACGATTGTTGCTTAAACCACCTATCAGATGCATTATTTTTTAAAGTAAAGTTAGTGCAGGATATGGAATTCTCCTAACTGGAAAAGGAGACAAGTCAATGTGGCTCAAACAGTTAAGAAAATTGTCAGATACAACATTTCATCAACAAAGAATACTACATTCCAGAGCATAAAACTGAATTTCCAAAAAAAGTATCTGGCACAAGGAAATATAAAAGCCAAAATATTCATTCTGTTCTAAAACATGTATGGCCTTTGGAACATCTGTCACATGACTTTCTAAATAAATTTAAACTACATCAAATTCCTCCAACTAGGTTTTTACATTGAGCCTCTAATTCATCCTTACAAAATGGGCTAGTAAGGTGAGGTGGGCCACTAGTTATTAACTCATTTTAGGGCTTATCTCTATTCAATGCGGGACTTGGATTTTTCCCAACACCTCTTTTCATTTTCGCCAAATTTGAGTCATGTAAGCCAAGATTAATCTGAGGTTATGTTGCATATTCTATTATTATCATATAAAGCACAAAACATGAACACCATATAATATATATTAATAAGGGTTATTATCACTTTTGATCCTTGCCATATAGGCCACTTTTGGTTTACCCCTATAAAAAAAAAATTTGTAAAAGTAATTTTGCAATTTCAAAATACTAACATTTTAGTCTCTAAAGTCAAAATCCACAGGTAAATCCGCAGGTTTCCTGCGAATTTTACAGAGGATAAACCAGAAATGGCCTATACGGCAGGGGATAAAATGATAATAACCCTATTAATAAATACACTAAATGGATTATTTATCTTTTAGTCCTCCAAAATATGGTGAAGTTTAGTCTTTGTTTTTGAACTTCAAAATGTATCTTTTCCTCCTCCATTTCCTAAAATGTGTTATTCGTTGTTCTCATTGCAGGCTCCATCGCATTAACGGTTAAGGTGTCAAACGAAGTAACACCTCTAACCCATTTACTTGGGCAAATAGTATGTGTTGACTGCTGATGTGTTTAAAACATCTCCACCTTACTCTTCTTCATATGTTGTTTTTTATCAAAACCTGTTCAGCGCTAAGGTGGGGAATTAGGAAGAGTACTTCCGCGTTATTTTCCAATGATGGGAAGGACGGGAATTCTCACACCTTCCATCCCCAGAAGGAAAAAATGATGTGATGTTGATCATGATGGATCTCATAGTGGCTGGAAGGATCTCTATCATGCCCAAGGCAGTTGATGGAGTATGCTCTCTAATCAAAGCGATCAGCCTCCTTTTCCCAAGTGATCAGATGGCACGTAATCTCATCGTGGTATTTTCGGAGAGCGGGACATTGTAGAAGTACAACCTAGAACTCGTTGGGGAAAAACTAAAAGCCATAAAGAAAGATGAGGACAAAGAGTTGTTCAAACAAGCCAAGAAGAATATTGGTATTAAGACACCGCCTTCTGGTATCAGCACCAAACTCAAAGAGTGCTTCCAAATGAACAATCATATCAAGTATCTGCTGTTTGTGAGGCCAATTTTCACTCTTGGCAGAACAGGAGATGAGATTGCACGTGATAGAGAAAGTTTGGTGGAAATTTGCTAGGCTAGTTGGGTGTTAGCTTCACCAATCAAGTTTTGATTGAAATCACTTCATTAGAAAAAATATGAGCTTAAGGTTATGAAGGATTTGGTTGATAGCGCTGTTATTAATATTATTTGTTCCATTGAGAATATTGATCCAATGCGGGTCCACATTGGCAATTCTATCATTACTGTGCCAGTGCAAACTCTGATGCGTAAAGAATATCAGCATTGGGATTCTGTTATATCAACAAGGAAGAAGGACAAATGAGGAAGAGTATGGTTTCATTTTGAATTGGGCAGATTGCATGAATGACCTATCCTGGTGAGGTGGAGACGTTTTAAACACATTTGCAGCCAATATGGATTATTCGATTGTACGAAACTGAGGTGTCACTCCATTTGAAACATTACCCATTAATAGCACATTTCAAGACCAAACTTTACCATATTTTGGGGATGTAAATTATAATAAACCACAGGATAAACCCTGATTATAATGGGACAAGCTTTTGGATGACGTACTTGGTAAACCAACATCACCAACTTCTTTGGCATCATTGTTTGGCTCATCTAGGTTGCAGATAGGTATGCTCATCCTTTTCTGCAATATAGTTCCATATCATACATGAGTTGCAGTTAGTCAATATTATAAATATACAAATTACTGAAAATTGACTTTTACTTCTATTTAATATTAAAGGTTACATAAATTTTCAGTTTTACTCCAAAACTTTTTCCTTCTTTAATGAAGTTTAATTATATCCTGCAGTTTAAATTTTGGCACCTATGATATTTCACTAATCAAGTAATCATATTTCCATCAAACTTCCATTTATGTTTGAAATCTTTATCTTGGCTTTAGTTTTAGTATCCTCAAATTTGTGATTAGGCAACAAAAGCATGTCAGCCTTTATTTTCATAAGCAAAACTGACACACTTTAGCTAGTGTAGAAACCAAGGAGTGTTTCACTAACTATCTACTTTATTTAGAGAAACTCTAGATAAAAATAAGATGTGAAATCTCAATATTCCAAGATAAAGAGAAAAATGTTCTTAATAACACTTTTGATCCTTCTAATTTGGAGTATGCTTTGGTCCTCAATTTTTTCGAGCGAATCAAATCCTTCAACTTTCAAAATTAAGCAAATATGATCTGATTGTCAAATTTCTTTTAAGCAAACTTCATACATTATCACTTTTTTATGCTCAACAAGTGTATGTATAGAGGGTGTATTAAGTGAGTATTTGAGAAGATAATCTTCACCATAACAAGAGAATGGTTGTGATTAATTCTTTCATGATCACAGCCAATATGCTTCCTGTATGTATATGTATATGTATGTGAGTGTACTATATCCCGATGTCCTATATTTTAGACATTGCATGTGTCAGTGTTGGTATTTGGTGTTCACGTCATAACTCTCATGTGAGATGAATTGTTACAATGACTAGAAAAACATCTCACATTATTACTTTATCATAAAATATTTAATATACCACCAAACCATTTACATATTTCTTATATTTCTCTAACAAATTACCTCTTAGGATTGATTTTCATATTTATTTATAAATCATGATTGATTAAAGAGGATTAGTCGTAGTACTTGAAAGCAAGGTTTTGGTATTAAATAACCTAAGAGATTAGCTCTCAGCTTCATATTACTATTAATGAAGGCTGTACAATGAGAATCCCTTTATTAAGGGAATAAATCTGGATAAATCATTCCTAATAAACACATAATTATATACAAGAAAAACCTTAATAGTAAAAATTCAAATCAGTATCTCAACAGTAGTGTCGGTATAAATAAAAATCGGTACTTTGTATTCTATAATAAAATGCAGCATACACTATATAAATTAAAAATGCTAACAACACTAACACATTCTTCATTATCTGATGAATTTCATGTGAGTGCCACAAATTCGGAAGTATGTCCCACCTAATAGGGAATGGGCCCAAATTTTCATGTGAGTGCCACAATTTAATATTCTTAGTATTCCTTTTCTTCTCTCTAACCCTAGACCTTCTACATGTATAAGATAACAAAAAAAAAATTTGAAAACAGAAAGACAGCTTACATTCTCACTAGAAGAAACTGTTTGCATAACAGTTGAAGGAATTAACGTTGCTTCTGACGTTGATCCGGGTTCCGATATTTCAGTGCTTGTAACCTGTGAAGAAATAATTGTGAGTAAAGCTTCACATCATGCAAAAACATTATGAATGTAACTCGTAAATTGTGCAAAAAAGAAGAATAATGTACTCAAACTTAACCAATTTATGAGTGACCATGCTGGCATATGACTCAGCATCTAATCTATCAGCAACAGAAGAACTTCCAAATTTCATTGGCTTTGTTGCTTCTCTAGAATTTAACAACTGTACATAGCACAAGGGAGTATTAGCTGCAGATTTGAGCAGTAATTGTTGATGAAATTCAAACAAATACAACAATCCTGCCATACTCTCAAAATGTCGGGATCATTCCAAGGTCCCTTGTTAGATCTAAGACATCCTCCATCATTTGGGCATGAACAACTTCCACCCAGAAAATCAGGAAGTTGACTGTTCAAAAGCAAATATTTATTATTACAGACATAGAAGCAGTTAATTAGCTGAGACAGTACAAAAACAACACAAACCTTGCGTCTATGACCTCTAACAATCTGCTCTGGAACTTGTTGCCCAAAACCTGTAAATCCGGCATGTATCATTTAGACTCTTGTCATTCCTTTCTAAAGGTAAATCAAAGCAAAAAAAAGAAAGATACATACATTTATTTTGGCTGTGGTCCTTGGATCAAGAAATCCTTTTGCTGTATTCCATATTAGCTTGAACCCACTACCAGCATTAACAATGAACATTTGGTTTAATGTCTGGAAAAAGAAGAGCATATTCAGAAATGCACAAGGTCTGTGTACCAAAATTACCAAAGGCAACTTTTGATTTGCAGTAAGGGTACAGAGCATTGTAAGTTTTGTATCCCTAATTCAGGTTCCGTTTCAACATGTATTTGATTGCACATACATGCATGCCTCCATGTCAACATATGCATGACAACAAGAATTGTATAATGACAAGAAACAAGAACACTGAACTCAGTAGGAATATAAATACATATAAACCTAATCTGTACGAAATTCCCTTTTTTTTAGTCATCATGAAAAGAAATAGCTTGCATAACTATTTTTTTTAAATCTTTTAAAGAATCTCTGAATTGAACTAATGAGATTGCCACTTTAAAGATCACTACTATGATTTGCTTACCAAGTTAAACTCAATATTGTACAACATTTAGTTACCTCAGGGTAGTTATCACCGTCAATTTTTTGCATGCGCATAACAAGTTCATTTGCAACTTTGCTAAAGCTCAACCAGTTCTGCATCATATACAAAGTAGCAATAAACTAATGATTTCCACAGTATGTTATTATGGCTATTCTGATATGTTGTTATAAGTATAGAATTTACCACGCCGTGCACATCAATTATTGTCGTTGTTCTATGTATGATCCGCTTTGCTGCTATAGAACATGCTGGGAATTTCTCTTTAAACATTTTCTCAAATCCCTGAACGTGATATCTTAAAAATCGATCTATTGTGGTGACATTCATCAACTTGTTGGGTTCAACTTTGCCAAGTCTCTCGATATAAACTGGTCGCCCCTCTTTGTCCACACCATGCATACCATGAGGGTAAAAACGCTGAACGTCTTCATACTCCTTATATATGAAATCCTACACATTATGGATGTTTAATGTTCCTTCAGATGAAAAGATTAAAATAATTCCAGCTCAAACAAATAATATTGGGGAAAATCTTCTATTGGAATACTACACAGGATTTTTCCTCACTACAGCTAGATGCTTTAGTTGGCTGTTTTGAGTTGAAAACTCCGATAAGCTCTTCCAATCTTTGTGTACAAATAGTTAGGAAAGATTAGCTTCCCTATTAAGTAAAAGGAAAACCAACTAGTACCAAACTTTACCTGTATAATAGAATCTACTCCATTTTCCTTTCTCCAATGGAGCATATCTGCCCACATCTGGACCGTTTTATCAATGTCAAACTTTCTGGCCTTCAGAAACCTGCAGCATTAAAACAGTAGCAGCCTGTAACACAGCATGCGTAAAACATTTTTTTTGAACAAAAACATGTATAGGAAAATAGTCTTCATCCATTCTCCTTGACTTGTTAAAAAGAATATCTATTCTCCTCGATAAAAGTTTCTGGAAAGGTTTTAAAACATTAATGGACGGCAATCTGGATAAATAATTCATTAAATTAAACTTGTGATTCAACCCTGTTTTAAAAGAGGAAGAATACTCCAAACTGAAAGCAAGAACATATTAAAGAGGCAAAACCTATAGTGTCTCTCCAGAAATGTGCTTCAAGTTCCACCTTTGTTTGATTAATTTTCCTTGATTAAATTAAGGTAAAATAAAAGTTGTACCTTTGCCATATGAATCAATGAGATCCAAACAGCATAACCAATAATATTTCTATTTATTTCAAGTCATAAATTGAGCTATCTAAAGCAATACTGCATGCTCAGCTGTAAAGTTAACTTCAGTCAGACAAATTACCTCAGCATTGTGTGATAGTTGTCATGGGAATCTGGAAGCAGATCTCTTGTTTGTAGTGCCAATCGAAACAAATTCACAGTTTCTTCCTCTTTGGCGTCACGGATATCTTCAATGAAAACTGAATCAAATTGATAATCAGCTACACGCTTATTACGTTTCCTGAGACTATAAGTGAGTCTTGTTGAGGCAGTCATTGCTCTTCTCCTAAGAGATCTAGCTCGAGACTTCCGCCACTCATCCTCAGAGGTTTCAGGCTCCAAATTTCTAATCCTCTCATCTTCTTGAACTAATAATCCTTCCCCTAAAACCACAGAGTCATCGGTCACCAAAACAACCCAAAAATACAACCAAATCAACATCTTAATATCAAATAAGTTTTGTACCTTGCATTCTATTCAAGACTCAAATAATCCGCGCCTAGATTACCCCTGCACCACAAGAAAGCAAGCACAACATTTAATGATGGAATATATCTAAAGAAAAACATAATTTTTCATTTATACCAGTTATTCAATCGTAACAACAGCATATTCAGCTGGATTAAATCCCTTAAGAACAAATGCAAACTCTAGAGAAACTAGAACATTCCACAGTTAATACTTAAAACTATGGTTATGTTTGGATATCATGAAATGAATGGAGCGGAATGGAGCAGAGCGGAACCAAGATACCATTACATTGTTTGAAAATTTTAGGACGGAACAAAGCAAGTTGTTCATTCCGCCCAAATCGTAGGGGAAGGAATATGGTGGTAAGTGATGGAATGGAATGAATCCATACCACTCTATTCCGCTCCGCTCCATCCATTTTTAAACTATCCAAACAATAGAATATCATTTTATTCCATCTCATTCCGCTCCGCTCCATCTGATTCCATCAATCCAAATATAAAGAACTCCACAGTGTAACACAAAGTAATGGAGTGGAGTGGAGCGGAGCGGGATGGGGCAGAATGGAGCAGAGCGGAACGAAGGTACCATTCCATTGTTTGGAAATTTTAGAACGGAATAAGGCAAGTTGTTCATTCCGCCCAAATCGGAAGGGAAGGAATATGGTGGTAAGTGATGGAATGGAATGGAATCCATACCACTCTATTCCGCTCCGCTCCATCCGTTTTAAAATTATCCAAACAATAGAATATCGTTTTATTCCATTCCGCTCCATCCGATCCCATCAATCCAAACAAAGCCTAGATGAACAAAAATCCAAAACAATAGATCAAATCCCTTAGTAACACAACAGCATATTCAGCTGAATTAAATCCCTCAAGAACAAACGCAAACTCTAGTGAAACTAAAACATTCCGCGGTTAATACTTAAAACTAAAGAACTCTACAGTGTAACACAAAGTAAACAGATCCCTAGATGAACAAAAATCCAAAACAAAAGATCAATCATATATGTTAACACGATGCCACGATCAGAGAAAAATTCAAAGCTCGTCCAAATCTAGATTACTGAAACACAAAATTCACAGAGATTGAAACGATCTACAGAACAACACCAGAAACAAAAATTGAAATCGAAAAACCATAATTGAGCTGGATTAAAGTAAAAATTCAGATCATCAATATAGTTCAAAAGAATGCATTAACCGAAAATCGTAGATCAATCAATAAAATCATCCATTAACGAATGATCGGAAAATGCATCACAGCGTCGTTTTTATATATACCTGTGGCGAGTTGAAAATTTGAGAGGAAGAAATCAAAATGTATATCGCTTTCTGAGATCCAAATGCGCACTTCACTTTCTCGGTATATCGAATTCCGTACGGCGCCGATGAGAGAGAGAGAGGTGCGTCGCTATCAGGAGCGTCGTTGGTGGCAGTGGCGTGCAACGGCCGCTTGAGGTAGGCGATAACGGCGGCTGTTTGGTTCGTTGGTTGGTAAGTTTCTGGCACTTGTTTACAGACGTTTGTTTGTTAACGGGGTGTGGGGGCGGTGATCGAGTGTGACTGATTCTATGCTAAAAAGCGTGGGAATAGTCGAGTTTTGTGAAGTTTTGTTCTTCAATCACGCTTCCAAATATCTTGAATGCTTTTCTAATTGAAAATTACAGCAAGTAATTAGAGCTAGTAAATAGTTAGAGATTTGATTTGTTAATTAATTTGTTGATTTAGTTCATAAATTAAATTAATTGAACTTGAGCTTAAAATTAAACTCGTAAAATAAATGAGTTGAACTTGAATTATGTATAATTCGATTCGTTTAGTCAATAAACTAGTTTGATATATAAATTTCATGCAAATATCAATATTGAGTTTTCATATTTATTTATATCATTTAAAAGATAATAAAATAATTTATAACTCTATTAATTAAAAAAAATTCAAATTCAAGCTAATAAAATATATGTTACAAATTTAAGTTATAACTTTTTATTATTTGTTCGTATTACCTACTTTTGATGATAATATATTGAATTACAAATATTATTTTGAAATGAAATTTATATTATATAAAAGTTAAGAATATTGTCTATAATTCTTGTGAATACAATAAGAATAAATAAAATTGTTTTAAATAAAATTGTTCTAACAAATCGAGTTTGAGTTGGAAACTTTTTTTTCTGATGAACTCGAATTTGAACTCGACCAATTCTTAACAAGTTGAATTTTAGCTGAAAAAGTTCGTGATAAATTTAAACTCGAACTCAGATGATTCTTAACGAGTCGAACTAAGTTGAGACGAGTTCGATTTGACTCGACTCATTTTCAGCCTTACACGTAATTGTAAACATTGGTATGTTTTTTTTTTTTTTGATAAAAAAACATTGGTATGTTAAACTAGTAAAATTAGTTGTAACAAAATAATTAAACTTCGTAGTCTAGTTAAATTTTTTTCTTTTATCAAAAAAATTACGATAGAATATTATTACTTTTTAAATATGTGAACTAGTCTGAATAGAAAATAAATAAATAAATAAAATAGATTGTGTGTTTTCTTCAATATACAATATTTTATAGTAATAATTAATAATTGATTTGTATTCTTTCAAATCACAAAAATATTTTAAAATTATTTATAATATAATAGCGTTCAAACAGGCACGGAGTGCCCATTTGTCCGCTTTTTTACTGCGCTAACGTGTGTGTTTTTTTATAAGTTTTTTATAGGTCGTATAAAAAACTATATTAATTAGACACAATTATTAGAATTAAAAGTAAGATGATAAATAGTATGGTTAAATATACAATCCCCCTACCATTAGGGCTAGTTTTGGTATTCTCCTCTGAAGTTTTTTTTTTTTTTTTTGTGTTTCCACCCTTGTAAAACAAAGATTAAGTTTTGTGAAGACTCTATCTCTTGTTTGGCTGACTCGGCAAGCATGCATCTGACTGGATGGCATTATGAAATAGCTGACTGGATTATTTTCTAATACATTAAATTTAAAATACAATAAAAGACAAATATATATCCCCCTCTGCGCGTGAATAACTTAGGGTTCAAATTTGGGAACTTTCTCTGGGAGAAGACAAATTCTTGAGGAAGACGAAGCAATGGCTGGGAACGGTGAAGATTCAGTCTATTCGTCTCAGGTAAGTTTAAATTTCCATCTCCATTACTTGAATCTAATATGCATTGTTGTGTTTAATCTTACATTTAGTATCCAATTTCAGAATAAACTATTGTTTAACATTGTTTTTATCCATGGAGGAGAGTTCGTGAAGTTGAGTGATGGTGAAACGATATACAGGAGTGGGGTTTCTACACTAGTGTCAAGGTTACACATGGAAAAGAATACATTGATTGAGCTGTGTAACATAGTAAATGGGTGGGGTTACTTAGAGTATAGATTATGAACGAAAATCACCGATATATATCATAATTTTTTCCAAATTAAGAATGATGAGGATGTTTATGATTTATCTGCTTATGCTTGTTCGATGGAAGTTGGTGGTGAACTGTTTGTGGAATACGATGTAAGTGGAAGTGGAAGCAGTCCAAGGTGTGTGAATGAAACTGCTGAGTTAGATGTTAGTGATGAAGAGGTAGTTGAAGGGTTAAACGATAGTGAGGATGAGAGAACAACTGCTATTGCAGATGAGTTTGATGGGATTAATGTAAATATACCAATTAGGGAGGATTCAATCATAAAGGGTCTGTTGACTTGTTCTTATAAGAGTAAATGGGAAGACAACAATTATGTTAGTGAAGATCTAGCTCTGATCCTGATAACTCAGAAGAGGAAAAAGGACCTAAGTTTGAGAAATTTAAAAAAGAGCGGCTTAATAAGAATTTCAAGTTTAAGTGGGGTATGGAGTTCAATTCCCTAGATGACTTTCGAGAGGCCATTCGTGAGTGAACTATTTGGGAGGGAAATAACTTTTGTGAAAAATGAGGGATATAGGGTGAGGGTAGAATGTAAGGCTAAATGTAGGTTTTTAATGCTTTGTTCTAGGGTGGGCCATAAGCACACTTATGTCATTAAGACTATAAAAGACACCCACACATGTGCTAGGATTTTGGATAATATATATGGAAGTTCTAAGTGGATGGCCAGGGTTGTGGTTAAGAAAATGCAAACATCTGATAAAGTGAGGATCTCTGATATTATTCAAGATACGAGGCAAAACTATTCAGTGGGTATAAATGTGGCAAGGGCATGGAAATCTAAATTGATTGCGAAAAAGATCATTGAAGGGGATGCAGACAAGAAATATGGAAATCTCTGGAGATATGCTACTGAGTTGAAGAGGATAAATGCTGGAAATACTCTGAAGATTAACATTGATAAACCAATCCCTTCAATCCAACCAAGGTTTGGATCTTTTATTTCTGTTTTGATGGATGTAAAAAAGGGTTCATAAATGGTTGCAGACCATTTATTGGGGTTAATGGGTGTCATTTGGTAAAAGGTCTTGTACTTCTAATTTTTGGGAGTTAGTTGTATTCCATGCAGGCATGCAGTTGCATCCTTAGGGTTTAGGCAGCAGAATCCATAATTATCTGTTGATGAATGTTACACTAGGGATAAGTATGCCCTTTTCTATGGATTTGTTGTTAGCCATATTAATGGACAGGATGTGTGGCCTGATGTAGAAAGTGAAGAGCTTCTTCCTCCTAACTCCAAAAAAGGTCCTAGTAGACCAAGGAAATTAAGAATAAGGGAGACTGGTGAGGAAGGTGCGAGAAGAACATTACCTGGTGTCACTCATAGGTGCACTGAGTGTTATAAGATTGGACATAATGTTAAGTCGTACAAGAGCAAAAAATAAGATTCAAATGCATTGAAGAGAAAGGTATGGTTGTTATTGGTAAATATTGTTATCTTGATATTGTTACAAATGCTTCTGGTGCAATGTTTCTATTTGTAATTGTTGTGTATTACTTTTTGCGGCAAAATATGAGGAGGAATGTTGTTGATGAAACTAATCATGTGATCAAAATTATGGTGCAAATGGTGCATGTGCAAATGGTGCTGATGAAGCTGTAACAACAGATCAAAATTCTGGTACAAATGGTGAAAATGCAAGTGTGATTGATGAAACTGTAACAACAGGTCAAAATGAAGGTGCGAGTGTGAATATGTCATCACAAAATGAAGGAACAGCTCATCCATATCAGTCATATGATGCAAATCAAAGTGATGCTTCACTTTTTGGAGATGTTACTGATGAAATGATATCAAGCCTACCTGACATTAATCCAAGTGTACAAATAACAACAACCATTTGCTCAATAACTACCATAAGGAAAGGCAAGGTAAAAGTCAAACAAGAAGCTAAACCTATGAGAAAGAGGTCAGGTGAGAGAATAAATATTAATTGGTTTAAAAAGCCAAAACCATTCACATGTGTTGGTACTAACCCAAAGCAACCGATGTACTTGACTGAAGAAGAAGAAGAAGACAATGGCTCCCAACTTAAAAGGAAGGTTCCAAAGAAGGCAACAAAGAAGAAATTAGTTTATAACCTTTAGTTTATATGTGTAATGACAATTATTATGTTTTAGTGTTATTTTGTAAGGAATGATCCAAACTTCTGATATGCTCTTTTGGAATGATGCACACTTTTGGTGCTCTTTTGTAATGAATAAGTTATGCACCCTTTTGGTGCTCTTTTGTAATATATGACTTATGCATACTTTTGGTACTTTTATCAAATGCTTAATGCAATTTTCCATATTATAAAATGATTAACACAACTTGTTTGACATAAACTTAAACCTTTCCATTAATATGAAGAATTTTCAAAATACATGATTCTGCTAACATTGTTCAAAAACCAGAAAATTACAACTATTGAACCTACTTAAAATTACATTAAGTTATACAATAAAGAAACAATTAAACAACATATAAAAATTTTCTTCTTGAGCTTCGTATTAAACTTTTTCTTAGCTACGAGCTTCATCTTCCACTTCTCCAATTTCTTTGTTGTTGTTTCTAACTACATTTCTAGAATCTCACACTCGTTACAAAATGGTTGATTTACACTCTCCCCTTTCATATAGTCTCTAATTTCATCATCCCATAAGAATAATTCACAGCTATTCACATGATACAAAATATAATTTACACATCTGTTAACACAAATAGAAATCAAATTTTGCTATCAAATTTTGCCACTAAATCCAAAAACATTCTTACCCCAGTGCTGCGACATTTTCAGAACTTTCTATTACGGTTTTGAACTGTGTTGGAGACCCACATATCCATTGCTTGATCACAACCACATATGGGTAAACCTGGGAATCCAACGGAATTATCACTGCTTCTAAAATAATTGTTTTAAACCATGCTTCCAATTGAAAGGATGGAGTATGAACACATAAGAAGCAGATGAATGGAGCAACACTGGCGAATAAGCAGAAGAATGAAACAGAATGGGAAGAAGAAAATGATGGAAGAAGCATAAATGACAAACGCTAGAACAAGGGAATTTTATTCAATTAAACAAGCTAAGCTCAATCATAAAATTCTCAATGCCACGTAGCTAGAATATAAATGCCCAGTCATCCAAATAAGGGATAGGGTCTTCACAAAACAGAATCTTTATGATACAAGGGTGGAAACACAAAAAAATACTTCGGGGGGGAGGGGGGAACCAAAACTCGCCCTATGGTAGGGGTCGTATATTTATCTCTAAATAGTATTGATTTTTAATATGCTTTAGTGTGCATACACGTGAATTGACGGAGAAGCAAAGCAAAAGCATGATAACTCGTGTATGTCTTTTATGATGTTTTTCGCATATATTCTCTCTTTCTCTCTCTCCCCTCTCCCATCTCTCCCTCCGCCTCCCCCTCACTATCTCCATCTCTTTCTCCCCCTCTTTCCCCTCATACACACACACACTCTCTCTCTCTCTCTCTCCACCTCTCCCTCACTATCTCCCTCTCTTTGTCCCCCTCCCCCTCACTACCTCTATCTCTCTCCCATAGTGGACAAAAAAAATTTATTAAATTTTGTTGTTAATTTAAATTATTTATGTAATAAATTTTGTAATTTTAAATAAAGATTTAAATTATTTATGTAATAAATTTTGTAATCTTAAATAAATAATAGAGTTTAATTGAATGCATGATAGTGATTGCTTTTGAGATTATTTATGTGAGAGCATAAGAATTTAATGTGCATATGCAAATCTATAAAAATATAATACAACAAAATAGGAGAATTAATTATATTAGGATAAAATAAAAAATAATAAAGAAAGAGAGGAAGACAAAGAGTGAGATAAGAAATAGTCTTTTTGTTGTAGAAGGTCATTCTTTTAGGCATAATTTCAACCTTCTTTTAACCATTACATAGAATTAATCAATTGAAATTGAAAAGAGTAAATAATTTTGTATAGAATGTTAAAATCTCAAATTTAAAAAATAGATTAATATGAGAAGAAAGAAGAGAGAGTTGTATTCCAAAAATGATATGATGATTGCATATGTAACCATGTTTTCTTCATTTATCATCTTTACTTCCTGATTCAATTTCATAAGCTAGGTTGAATATGTGTTTTGAATGAGGGAGGGTAATTTTTTTCAACCCAATAGAAGAAGTTAGAACTGAAACTCTGTTATCATCAACAGAGTATCCATAACTGATATTAATGGTGGAAATCATGATCTATGACCTCATCACTTCCTTCTAATTTTAATACCAAAATAGGGATAATAGCTATTTCCCCTGCAATATTAGCGATGTTTGAAAAACACCCACGTAAAAAAAGTTTAGATTCCCACCCTAACATTTCCAGATTCAGACATTTTGGCCCCTCCACCCATCCAATCAACAGAATCTTCATTATTTTAATGTTCTTTTAAATTTTTTAATTTTACCTCATCAATAATTGCTCATGTGGCATGGTAAATTATGTAGTACATGGTAAAAATTTATTAAGTTATTAT